TTGTTATTTCTATGTGGTCTGATCAATTATTCTTATACTAATATCTGGTAATAACTAATTTAACCTATGCTGGAGGCATTTATTATTATGAAATTATTAAATACTTACATTGTAATTTCCTTCATGAAAACATAAAACCCATCATGCAATTACTTATTCATAAATCTCACATTTTTTTTTATGAAAAACGAGAATACAAATCCCAATATATTGATTCGAAAGTAAATGAAACTGTGATGACTTTTTATTTTTTTGGAAAGGACAATTTCATGCAAAGTTATAGGATCTGTACCGGTGGCCTTAGCATTATAAAATCCATTTTCATTTTCGTTTATCTATGTAGCTTGATTTAGATCTAGCTATCTAGTTAAGAGCTTGAGATCATAGCTTCTCCCAGATGAGGTAAGTGGAGACTGTTCCTCTAGATTTTTGCACTCTAGCGCATCCAAAATGTGAGAAAACATTACGAGTTTTTTATTACAATCATGGATGGTGCGTTGAATTTAATCTCATTTTGAATCCTAATCAGACAATCTGCTGCAATAGATGATTTCTTATGTTCCTATGCAGGATTTTCATTTCTCTTTCCCTCTACCATGAATGATGTGTAAACTAATAGCTATCCATAGCTCTGACAATTAGTCAAAGATAGTTAATATTATTGCTTTTATTTATATAAAACAATATTCTAATTCAAGAATTTTTTAAGTGTAAATTACATGAGCTCTCCTATGGTTTGTTTATTTTTTCATTTTCCTTTTATTCTTTTAAAAATTACATTTTATATTTTTCTTTTCTTTACCCTTTCCTTTTTTAGTTGTGCAAAAAGATCGGGTGGTTGGTGATTAAACAATGGCAATCTTTGAAAACATAGACCTAATCAATCCCTTGTTGGTGAAATTGGCCAGTGCAAGCCCTTGTTCTACTGTCAAATCTGGGGTTTCGGAAGCACAATAGTGCTCATATATTTGAGTGACTTGGTTGTTCTAGTGATGCTCTGCTGCTTGCGATGTTTTGTTATTCTATGCTTCATTTTCCTTCTAATGGTCACCTTTTTCCCCTTGTATAAGATCCAATTCAGCAGCTAGATGATTGGATGTGCAGATTACGAGATTGCTTGTCATTTTGCCACAATGCCATCCACGACGAGAGAATAATTTTTTTGAAGTGGATGTGCTTAGTTTTTCTAGCTTGGTCCTGCGGTCAAACATGTCAAAAAGTCATATGGGGTTATTTGTCAAGCCTAGCGACTTCTATGGCCTTAGAAGCCTGTTTTCGGATGTACAAATTGCATGATCTACCATCTCTATGGTGGATTTTGCATCCCTGCAAGCGTTTTTACAGTGAAAGAGTCTTGTTGGGTTTGGATGGTAGCTTAATTAGTACTTCAACAGAGAAATTTTGATGCGTCATTTGTTGATGGAGTTTTTGATATATTATATATAAAGATATTTTAGTTGTTTTATCAAATTAAAAAAAAATCAGTTGATAAGTATTAAATTTCTCTGATCTCAAGGGTAGAAAATACTGTATAAAATAATTTGCAAAGATAATAATATTTATATTCAATCTTTTAATAACCAATAAATTAATATAAAAAAACTAAAATACCCTCATCTCTCAACCTTCCAACTTTTTCACCGAGAAACACAAAAGTAAATTTACCATAGCAATCCATAATTAATAAACTAAGTCTACCACTATAGTGAATTCATCACACATTTTATAATTTTGATTAATAATGTATATATTTTCTGGTAAACGGAGATAAAGAAAAATAACAACAAATTATAGAATTTTTTTAAACTAAAATATATATTGATGCCATTTCATATATAATTAACTTCATATACCTCTTAACATTTAAAAGCTTTGATAATTATAAACGTTGTAGTAGTAATGGAAAGGAAACTGCTTGAGCATTAACCTATCATAATAATGAATATAAAATTAAACTGATGTTGATTGTCTGGAGAGACTTTCATCTAATTAGATTAAAGCATGGTTGACAGTAGTGTTAGGTCTTATCTGGTTAATTAAGGGTCAGAAGGGCAAGTACGCAATCATTGAATAATAAACAAATGATTATCACCCAATTTGAGGAAGCATGAGAAATTATATTTGAAACTAACCTATTGGTTGCTGAAGTGGAAGCCATGTAATGCCTGCATGCAGTTCCACTACTCCTGGCAGATTCATGCTGAACGATAAACAAAACAATGAGCAAGTTCCTATGGGAGCCCTGCGAGTGAAAAACTAAAAAAAATATATATGAAAGTTTATAAGTATAGCTATAGTTTATGTAATAAACATATATTCATCTTTGTTCTTAACAAAAGAACATGTTTTTCATTTTTTTTATTAGAAAAAGAAAAGGAAAAGAGTTTTGTATTAGTAGTTTAGGTGAATTCTAGTTTTTCTTAAAAAAAAACAGTGAATTTTAGAATTTTAGCGGATATTTTAACTGAGTTTTTGGATGGAATTTAAAAGGGTGTTTGAGAGCATTGTATTTTTACTTAGAAATGTATTAAAATAAATTTTTTATTTTATAAAAATTATTTTTTATATCAGCATATTAAAATGATATAAAATATAAAAAAATATTAATTTGAAGTAAACAAAAATATTTAAAAAATTAATTCTTTTTAAAAGACAAAAAATAAAAATAAACAGGGTTCCCATGAACGTTCATGGTGGGAAACATGGAATCCAATGGGAAAGGGCTAATTGAGAAACAATTGAAAGTTTGAGGTAGTGAATAACAGAAACTTTTAGTTCAAGGACTGTTCAGCATTGACCACCATAGAAGCCGTCCATGTTCATAAACGCCAGCAGTTTCCGACGGTGATTGTAGTGGCCACCTCAACCGGAGAAGCACTGACCATTTTTTTGAAATTCGTTTGCTGTCATTCTGCTGTTTCATTTAACTAATCAGAGTTTATTCTATGTACGTTACACCTGTTTAAGTGGCATTAATGCATGTGATTAGCCATGTGATCCCTTGCAATTTAAAACTGAAACATGCTCAAACTAAAATGTCCTCGCATTAATTTTTTACTCCCCCACAATTAAATTAAACCTTGCATCAAGTCCGGCGTGCATGATTGAAGATATTGTTGTCCGGTTAGATCAAATATTGACCAGAAAACTCATTTGGTTTGATGGCTTATATTCTATTTTTGTCATTATTTATTTACCCTAGATATATTACACGATAAGATATATTACATGATAATATTTAACGGTTGAATTTTTTTTGTTAATGTATTGTTATAAGATATTGTTTTCACTGCTAATTACTTCCATCAATAAATTCCAACAAAAATATATTATCGATATAAATTAAAGAAATCACAAACAGAATAGAATAAAAAAAAAAACTACACTATGCTATGATGTATAAGTTTTTATAAATACAATACTAACGGAATTAAACCAAAAATACAATTTATATGTGAATATACCGATAAAAATGACATTACAGGAAATATTACAATGTGATTTGTGTAATTTAAATAGACAATATATATATATATACTTGAATTTTTTTTCTTTTTGTCTTTGATTTCATACAGTGACCAGCATATTTTAGACTACCTTAGTGATTAAGGATGGAGCCAATCCTTTTAATTCTACAGCCAACTTCCTTAAACTCACTCCAACAAAAAACGAGAATTAATTATATTATATAGAATAAAGTACCTCGCGATTATTTTAAAATAAGTAAGAATACATAAACAAAAAAGTTACATATATAGACAAATTTTATTAACAATTAATATTTAATACAATTAATTTGGGAGATGATCGATATAACAAGTGATGCAGGATCCCATACATCACATTCAAGTTTGTGTGTATAACTTTTTTATCTGTGTGCAAATATACTATTGATCGGATGTGTATTTTGTTATTCAATTTACAATAATAAATACTATAAAAGTCCGAAAATCCCAAATTTTGCTTTATAAAAAGAATATTTCTTAGCTCATCAGCAACAATTGGAGAGTCAATCTGTAGATCCCAGATTATTTTTTTTACCTATGAAGATCTTTTGCTGGTGTATGAGCTAATGATGAACAAGACCTTTAAGTGTTTGCTGGCCCAGCTACATTTGCGTAAATGAATTTACATAAATTGAATTCTTATCATATAGGTGCATGTAAACTATGGATTGTCATGTGCGATTACATGCTCGACAGCTTGTACCTATGATTTTCTATTATATCATAACCCTTTTCATAATTGTCTCCGAAATTCCTTTTCGTACTATTGGAATTAGAATACTAATCCATTCAAAAAAATTTAATTGATGATTTTTTTAATTAATATGAATATCTAAATTAGTTTGGAAGAATTTGGATTAATTTTATAAATTTTAAAATTAATGATTATATAAATCTTTAATAATCATTATATTAGCAATGATAGAATTCAAATTTAAAACTATAAAAAAAATAAATTTTTTAATCTCAAGCTTTTATTACTAAATCACTTATTAAATATTTAATGATAACCTTTTTTATTAACCCAATTAGTTTGCAACCTTTAATTAAATCCTTAAATCCCTTAAATTTTAGTAAAACAACATAGGCATTGAAGAAAATAATTTTTTTTCTTTTTTTTAATAATTTACTCATTAAAGAGAAGCCAAAAGAAAACCTTGCTGAAAAGTCGATGCTCCCTTACATCATTGATATTCTTTTTTCATCATTGATTTTTTTTTTTGTATCATTGATATTCTTCTTCTTCTTTTGAAATGCTATTGTTTAAATCTAGTTTACTAAGAACTGAAAATCTTAATTGAAAGGTGGTGGAAAGTCCCACAGTGGACATCCTGGCTGTTAAAAATTTGGGATCTCCTTTTAAAGGTCGTAAATTTATAGAAATTGAAGTGAGGGAACTTGTTTGCTATTGTGATATATGTTGTTTTTTTATAAAAATAATATATTTAATAACATGAAGATAAAAATAAATAAAAATGGATAGATTCTCTGGAATTTAGAAACTGGGACAAGGTTGCAGTCACAGTTTTCATTACATGATCATGAAAATAAGATTTGATTACAACTCTACAAGATCTCCACATGAAAACAAACGAAGTATTTGCTACAAGATCCAGCGTTGCCTATTTCCAAAACAAAGATTTTTCTTTGCCTGTGAAGTAACTGTTTTCACATGATATAATCACATGGAAATCACTTCTCTTTTTTCTTCTTGGATTTTCTTGGACCGATCACTTTGTGCTTGAGTTTGAATTTCTGTCTTTAGTCTGAGATGAGAGTATGGCATCAATGGCTCCCTTTACTTGAGAAATATCAGGAGCTTTACCACCTTGAACTGGCCAGAATTCATCAGTGGCCAACACCTGCAGGAGCAAAAAGAAGAAGAAATGTCAAGGATCAATTTACACTATTCCATTCTATACAATAGGAAAAACTAAGGAGATAGAATCATCGAAGTAATTACCTTTACTTGCAATTGAAGAAACTTAACATAACTAATGGCTTTCTCTAGCATAGTAACCAAATCAACCTGTGTGATATATCATTAAGAACATAGAATTAACAAACTGGATCCAATTTTACAAGAAACTCATGGTCACTCTTGTCCGTAGAAGCCAAGGGAAAATACAACTGAAATTGAAGTCTACCTTGGAGCCGTTTGGGACTAAATCCTGCAACATCTTAAGGCGCTCGCTAATCCGCTCTCGTCGATTCTGAGGAATCAAAATCATTTTGCTTAATTTGAGAGCAAGATTAGTAATTTTATATTGAAACCTGGTAAGCCTTGAAATGTTGAAGCAAACCTTGGCAGCAATACTTTGTGGATCCTTAGCTGGACCAGCAGACTTGGGTTTCTGCTTTTTTGTGGCAATGTCGCGTTGCCTCTTCAGAGCCTGCATGCTCTCTCCCTGCAACCAAAATCACTTCCAGTGTTAGGACCATGAATTTTGTCATTGATTTATAATTCAAGAAAAGGGTCAGCAACAATTATGAAGAACATGGGGATGATAATTCATCACAATACCATATTGGGACGCTTATGGAAGCTGCTGGCATCTGGTGTTGCAGAATCGGGAATGCTATCAGTAACAATTGTGGATTCATGAGTGTATAACCAATCACCATGGTTTTCCTTTTCAGCACTGTTGGTTATGGAGTTGAAGTTGCTTGCACTTTGATAGCAATTAAGATCTTCCATCAACCGAGGATTTGCGTTACATTTTGGATTGATTTGGTTCCACTGGTAATTGCAACTCAAATTACCCTCCCAAGCAGAGTAGTCATCTTTGTGACTACTAGTTTGAGAAACCCTATTACTTTGCTCAAAGCTAATCAAAGATCCATTAGCATGCATGATACTATCAAATCCGGTACCTTTGAAGTTGATCAGAGAATGAGCTTCTTCAACTTGATTGTCAGTAGCCTGAAACACTAGTTCACCAGAATTTGCACTGCTTGGACTGCCAAGAGGAGGAGGAGAAGGGCTCATAGCTAAATTCTTGATCATAAGCCCACTATTTTTCTCAAAGTTCCTATCTCCCTCTTCATCAAATCCATAATTAGGCCCCAAGGAGGAAAGATCCCCCATCACATTTCCATAAAGGGCGCAAGTGCGCCCCATCACATTTCCATAAAGGGCGCAAGTTTGAACCGAATCCATACGGTCCTTGGCAAGTGCCATTGAGAGAGAATAAACTAGAACTTGAACTTACTTTGGTCTAACTCAAGCTAAGGCTAGCATATGAAGAAAGAAAACAACCTCCAGCCCCTATTTGTAGGGACTGAAAGATAATTGTATTATATTAATAATATTTAATTTGCATGTAATCCTTTCACTAAGTCAAGTGTGATTGGTGGTTAAAAGTCCAAGTAACAAGTATTTTGTTTCAATAATGAACTAATAAAAGAATTTATTTGATCTTTGTATTGGGATTGTTAGCTGGCAGATTGGTGAATAAAAATGGAAGAATAGAAGAAGAAGAAAGGGGAAGGTAATTAGGGCAAAGCAGCAAAAGCCTCGGCGGATGTATCGGCAATCCCACGTCTTTCAGATTCCCATGTAGTTATTGTCACCTTCAAGAACTTAGACTAATGTAGAGAGGGTGCTTCCTGCAATCTTTCCCTGAAGCTTAAGCACGTGGATTCATGCCCTATTTTATGATTTTCTTACATTCCATGCTACTGTGTGAACTCGCTTTGGTGATTATAAAATTGTTGCAACCAAACACTTGATTGGTATAATTCATCAACTATTTGAACATTGAAAATTCCTTTTCAACAGTTCACTAATTTTGTTTCCAAAATTTCTCACATGTTAGCATCGTTGCGTGATTATGATTTTGAACCCCGCCATGTTTTCTTAGTGGTATGGCTACTTTTTGTGAGGACCAAATCAGAGATCCGACACAGAAAGGAAATAAATTCAATACTTCCAAGAGTTAGGACCATGCATCTTGAAATGCATGAATTTGAAGATTTTTTATTATTATTATAAAACCAGCACACCTTGGTTGAAACTCATGCAGAGATGGGTTTAAACTCGTAATTAATCAGACAAGTGTGATCCTCAGGAATTCACATATGTATAACTTTCACTTTTGACTTTGGTACATTTAAATATATGATATATTCATCAGCTACATGCCTAGATCTATAATAACGCAGAGGACCACAACAATAACGAATATTTAACTGAGCATTATTGGGCATAAAATAAATTCATCATCAATGGAGAAAGTTAACAAGACTTTGAGGAGTGGAGATATAGTTTAGGGTAGAAAAATTATTCAATCAGCCGTACACCAGAAGCCACCATACATGTATTATAAAGAAGACAGAATAACAATATATTGAAGTTAAAATTCTTATCTTTTGCAAACCCTAAGAAGATCATCGTCCATGTTTTCTGTCAGATAAGAAAAATGCAGAGGATAAAAAATGACACAAATGTTAGAGCTGGCATTGGAATAAGGCAAATCCTTGTTTCAAGGAGATGTGTTGTTTCTCTGTAATAACTTTACTGGACCTCATCTCTATGTACAGATCAACACACATCTTTTCTCTTTAAATCCCATCATTGTTAATTAAATTGAGAGATACTGTTGCTAATTGCTCATATCAAGACTACGTGCTTGCTCAATCCACCTGGCATGTTCTTCCTCCTCATTATTTTTAACATTGATTATTATTATTATCTGTTCTTCAATGGATATTAAGGTTGATCTCTCTGCTACATTTACTCCTTTTTCTTTGTCCCCTTTTTCATTTACCAGCATGAAAGAGCAGACAGGCTTCCGTTGCTCCATTGTGCCAGACCCACATAATACACCTAGAGTCTTTGACAGCAATGTATAATCATATTGTCAGACTTCTCCTAAGAAATTTAAATTTTAGAAGTAACCAGTTCTTTATTATGGTACTGAAAACTCATTGAACACATACTTTTGAATTCGAATTCTTCCGTCTTATTTTTTCAAATTAAAAAAATAAATTATTATAAGATATAATGATGTAATTATATATATAAACTTAAAATTTTATCTAACAATTTAAGCTTAGAAAAAAATAACAAGTTTTGAGTTAAATTTTGTTTTGTACCGGAAATGAGTTCTCATCTCCGCAACTATCTATATCAAGTTGAAGCTTAAAAAAACAAAAGACATCATATTATAGCACGAAGATCTCACACCGTAGGTCGTCTAACATGTATAAACCTCCACTTTTAGGAAGGTAACTTGAACAATGAGGAAGGAGAATCAGATCTGTTATGTTGGCTTGATCCTGTGCAGCATTTTTAGTTCTCCTTCTTCGTGTCTAAGGTAGGCTTATAGACGAAATGTGCATCCATGATCTTCTGCAATGCCTTTAAGTTCAAGAATTCACAGTAAAGCATAGTTTTTAAACTCGTCTCAGGATAAATCTGAGACCAATCTCAAGTCACAAGTTAGATGAGTTGAGCCAAACTAATCCAGGTAAATTTAATTTTTTTATTTTATATAAAAACATATATATTATTTTGAAGAAAAATAAAAACAAAGGGGTTTCACAAGATCAATACTAGGTTAACCGAGTCGTGTATTAACTTTAGATTTTAACGAATTATACTAGATTAATTCTCTTTTTATTTTTGTTAAAACCTGACCGGTCTGGCACTCAAATCATCCAGATCACCTGTGCATCAGATTCAAAAAGCAAGCTATGGAAATCTCCTCATATGTGCAATACAGGTTCATCGGATCACATATATAGACGTACGTAAAGACTCTTCCAGTGCATCTAAGTGGCTGGGCATGATTCTGATAAGCCATGGAGACTGCAAGGTTCTTCAATCCAATAGCATTTATCAAGTCCTTGAAGAGTATCAGCTTCAGCCATACCTTTAACAGGAGGAATCAACGTTGCAGGTTTGCTGGCAAAACAAGGCAGACCGAACTGAAACTAACCCAAGAGAGCGACTTGGTTACTTGGTGTTTTACTAAAACAAGTTGTTTTGTTTTTACTTTAAAAAAACCATTAGAGATAACCTGTTCATGCTTGGACTGGATTTAAATCATTAAAAACTTGATCAGGTAAATATCTTTTCTAATTTAATTAAAAAAACTTCAGGTTTCAGGTCCTATAAGAAACTATGCTAGGAAGATCAATGATTTTGTAGCTTGATTCTGATTTGGAAGTGTTATGTTCTTTCATTTGTAAGCCATCTTCTTGATGGCCTCTTTTGTCTAATTAACACTTCCCTCAATAAAGTTCTTTGATTTTCGTAATAGAAAAAATAGTGACAGCATGCATCGATCTCACAGGTATTCTTATTGAAATCAGTTTAAAATCATCACATCACATAAATTTTGCTTGTCACAGAAACACCTTTTCTATGGGTCTTCTGTGAATAAAATTCTACTCCTGACTACAAATATTTATTAGAAACTTTCTTCTTTTTTTTTTTTTCAATTTCTGGCTCCCGTAATTATAATTAATCTTGAGCCCAACCTTCTTTAAAATTTCAATTGCTATATATTTCATTTTGATATTTTTTTCAATTTTACATCTTAAAACTTAATTTATTTTAATTTTTATATTAACTTTAATCTTTATTCTTTTTTATTTTTTAATTAAATTTTTTATTTAATCCTTATTTTTATAAATATTTACTTTATTTTAAATAATTTATAAAATTATTTTTTTTTCATTTATATTTGGTTTTCATTCTTTTAATAAACTTCAAAAATAAATTAAAATATTAATAAGTTTTTTTGAAGTGATTTTAAATGTTTTTCAACTATAATTCTCATGACAAATAATTCCACTTTTCATAAAAAGCTATCCTCCAAAATGAAACTTCTTTCTGACAAACAACAAAACTAAGTAGCTAGAGAAATCCACCAACAAAAAATATGGAAGAAAATGCTGGGCCAATTTAAGCCTCTAACATTTGAGGGAGTAATTCTCAACTAGCCGAAACATACAAATGGACCTTGACATGACTCTTCAATTTATGGAACTAAATCCTCAACAACAGCCGGGGCTTTCTGCACAGGGATAAACCCCATAAATGTCATGAAAAGTTGGAGCAGAATACATGTCATGGACGCTGTTTCAAGGAAAACCAGTCGTAACCAAACTGTCAATGGTCACATAATGCAAGCTTTATGTCAGAATGAAGCAGCCTAGGGTATACACTCATTTATTGTTGTTAGCTATCATATCAGTAAAAAGGAAGCATAGAAGACCAATAATCATAAACAAAACAACAAAAATACTATTTCTACAGAACAACGACCATAGTTCCTACCATTAGCGTCTCATGTCTAATCCTATTTTACAACAAATGACGAGTTTTAGTATATACACCTAATAAACATGCATACCCATAAAGAGTCATTAACTGCGGGCAGGAGCAGAAAAAAACAGGTCAGGCTATTCATTGGGCCACAGAACAAGGCGATGCTTGATTCAGAGGAATTGCATCAGTAGGAAACCTGCATGTTGCACAAAAAAGAGGTTTAAAGAAATGAAAGAAAGTACAAAGGTGTTCATTCAATATGAATGAAATGGTAAACTGAAATAAATCAGCCTTGTAAGTTTAATAGAAGTACATTCCCCTAAAAGAAAATTCAGGTTACTTCCAGAAAAACTAAATTTCAGAGGTGGAAGGTGATCCTTTTGTATCAATATTATCTTCAGGTTTGCTTCCAGAAGATCTGTTCTTAGCAAACAGCACAGATTGATCGTGTAAAGATGAATTAAGGAAGCTGGTTTATTCACACATTGTCAAACCCATAAAGCGTTTAGAAAACACATGCACATGCAAATTCAGAAGAAGAATTCAACATATGATCCATCACAAGCAAAAATAAACAAAACACAGCAGCAAATGCAGAGAAAGATATTAAAACTTACTGGGTATCAGTTTCTTTGTTAGCCTTTTTCTTGTTCTTCCTCCTCTTTTTGGCTGAACTAGAACCAAAGTCAACACCCAGAGGCTGTTCTGAAACAGGGTGTAGATCTGGTCTTGGTCTCTTGGGGTCATGGTGAGAAGGATGCATGCCTGAAGCTGCAGGTGGAATTGCACTCACTGGTACAGCATCCCTAACAAAAGCAGTGCTTACCTCTAGCTCTTGATCGACTGTGGTTTCAGAGCAATGTCCAACTTTTACTGCCACAGGTACAATGTTGGGTTGGGAATGGCTTGGGTCCTTGACCCTATCCAATGCAGCATAGAGTTTTCTTTTAAACTTGATTATTTCATAAAGAATTTTTGATGACCCGGAATTACCTGTTTCACAGCTTGAATTAGTCAATCACTCTCATGAACTATATATATATATATGAAGCAAATTCCCAATTCAAAATATAGGTTAGGGTACCTAAAAGAGAAAGGATCACAGCACGTGCTGCCAATTGCTCAGCCTCTTTCTTGTTTCTGCCAGCATCACCAGTATAACTTACACCATCAAAAACCAAAGTAGATATGAAAACAGGCAGCAGCCCAGGCGACTGAACAGTGTTGTAAGTAGGTTTTTCCTGATTCACCTTCACTGCAAATTCATTCAGAATGGATTTGCAAAACACCGTGTCCTGTAAATATAACCACACAAGAAAATAATGGACGAGCAAGAAGCAAAATCAACATTCTTGTCACGACACAGTGCACACATAACCAAACAATAGAAAGTGAAAAGCAAGGAAAGGTAAGACACAAAGCAACATTTTAAGAAAAACTGGCACCGCATACTAAAACTGTTTGTATATAAATAGTATCAAAACCATTATGCTTCAGTGCAATGCCTTTTTCTGTTCATTTATATGCATCAATAAGAAGGGATTTTAAAAAATCAAAGACAGTGTAGAATGAACTGTGAATCAAGTATTGAAATATAGTGATCAGCAATATTACATCAGAGGCAGCATTCCTTGAACCAAGTAAACAAATTTCCCTAGGACTATGGCATTCACCGCCAAGCAAACAGGGGAGGGATCTATACATTGACATGAAGATTAAAGACAACCAACGATAATTTATTTGAACAGAAAAAAAAACTATTGTTGTTTTTCAAAACTGAAGGATGCCAAATAGCTTGTCACAACAAGAACTTAATTTTTGGAAGAATGTAATTAGCCTAAAATAAAATACTAAAATATGCACAAATTCCCTGAAGAGCAGCAACAAAAGGAGGAGGAAGAAGAAAAGAACTAATAGCATTTGACAAGGTAAAATTTACAATTTGTTCACACACCCCAAGTAGAAGCGGACATCCTTCATCCTTAACTCTGTTTAGGATACTCTCAAGTGCAAGGTTCGCAACATCTTGTTCAGCTGCTTTTCGATGCAAGAAAGTTTTTTGGGATCTATACCGTGCTCCATCTACCCACACAGTCGATCTAAACCTTGGCATATGAGCAGGTCCTTCATTGACAGTTTGATATACAGGGAGCTGTAAAGATGATTTTTGCGTGTACTCTTGCAGACGATTCTTGTACATCAGGTTGTCTGGAAGGCCTGAAAAATTTCATGCAAATAAAATTTTTAATCCATCTGCATTATCAAACATAATTAAACTTTAAACAATTACATACAAAAAATGCAAGCACCAAGCTAAATGTGAAATATCAATGGTGGGTGGCCATCAAACCACAATTAAAATTCATGAATACAGAATAATTAATGTTACTTGCACATGATAAATTAAGATGGTTCCCTGAGCAAGACGCACAAGGCCATCTGCTAGCTTGTGCTGGTAAATTCCGTAACATTGTAGGAACAAAAATCATAGGATTCAAGAATGACAGCTAGTCAAATTCACAATCAATAATAGCAGAGTGACCTTTTACTGAACACAGTGAAACAGATTTTACATGAAACAATCAATACTTTTTACTTAGTCAAGCAATTATTCAATAATGTCAGCGTATATACACACCTCTGACAATTATTCCAGAATCATTAAATTATTTGTCTTCATAGTCAAGTAGAGAAACTTATTACACCAACAAAATGTGTTCTGTTTTATCACAACGTTTTCAAATAGTGAAACTAACGCTATCTGGGACTAATACCCAATAATAATTACTATAAATAAAAAAGAAAGCACTGTCCCATCACAGCAAAGAAACAAAGATATTTTGCCACTCGGTAGCCTATAAACAACAACAAAAAAAGTAATTCCCCTTTTTTTAGATAGGAGAAAAAAATGAATACTTTTTAAAATTGAACCAAACTCAAAACACATTAAAGAAACGCAATTAAATAACCAAGACATGCACTAAAGAAAGTTTATTCAACTCTCCTTTTCTTTCTGTTTGTTTCGTAAGAAAATGGGAAAAAATCCCAGAAACCTTCAAGATGCAAACTTTGTATTCTCCACAAAAAGAAATCTCTATCAGAAACTAACCCAGTCAGAAACCCATTATAAAAGTCCCAAAAAAAGTAAACACTCAAAAACCAGACTTTGAACAAAATGCAAACCTATAAAAAGTCACCTTTTTTCACTAATTTCTTTGAGAAAGAGATATTATCAGAAACCCGAGACGTAAGGGTAGTGGTAGAGGCAGCCGGAACGGGAGATAGAGTGGAATCAGGAGCTGGAGCTGGAGCTGGATTTGGGGTCGGGTCAGGAACTGGCGCTGGCGCTGGCTTTGGGGTCGGTTCATGAACTGGCGCTGGGTTTGGGTTCGGGTTCGGGTCAGGAACTGGCGCCTGACTTGGGGTCGGGTCAGGAACTGGCGCCTGACTTGGAGCTATTACTTGAGATGTAACTGCTTGTGGAGCCAAATCAGGAGCAGTACAAGGAGGTGGAGCCAGAGCCGGAGGAGCTGGAGAAGGTGAAGCTGGGTTAGAGAGTTCGGCTTCGGTCGGATTATCCATGGGTAAAAGCAGGTTTTGAAAGTGAAAATGAAGGTTGTGTGACTGGTGCTCGAGAGATTTAAGCTTGATACGATATGCTTAGAATTCGACAGACCACGCACACGTGCGTGCGAGTCTTTCGTACTTGCTCGGGTGGCACTGGTTAAAGAGTTTGATACTGTGATTTAATTTATTTATTTTTCTTATGTTGTTTAAGAATTTTTTTAATATGATTTTTATATGATAATATTAAAAATTAAAAAATATATTTATAAAAATATCTTGCAATGTATTATCAAAGACACCGTAAAAGAGTTATGGTCGTTCTCACGATTCATAAGAACTATGAAGGTGTTTCATTTTTTTTTTTCATTTTTTTAATGTTTTTGTGATCTAATTTCATAAAATAAAATTTTAAATAATAATATAAAATTAAAATTAAAATTAAAAAAGAGAATGCCACAATACAAAACATGAAAAAAATACAATTATTTATGAATGTAATTCTTAATTTATTTGATTAAACAAACACAAGAATTTTAATATTTAAAAAACAAATTCTTCCAGCTAAAAAATTATATCGACTTACATTTTATTCCACTTTCACCTAAGCACAAATGAAATTACCAGCTACTTTTTAATGAGTAATGGCCTTTTATTGTAAAATTTGCAGTTGAAATTAGGTAATGTTTTTGGGATCATGATTTCACCAAGAATTTAATCAATTAGAATTCTATACGTTAGTTGTGAGAATACATCTAAATTCTTTTCCTGAAAATATAATTTAGTTTTGATTAACGAAATGATTAGTTTAAAGACGATACTTGTTATAAAATAGAAAATAAATAGCTATTTGAACTTTATGGGTGAAATAATTTTTTTTAACAAAAACAATTGAATATATGGGTTTTTTCAATGTGTTTTCTTGACATATATGATCCTAAATATAAATTAAAATGTTTATATATATATATATAATTAAATAAATTGAAAATCATTTATATTAATAAATAAATAAAAATCATTAATAATAACTAGAGACAAAACTAGAAAAATTAAAAAGTAAATATAAATCTAAATATTATGTTCAATGAATTTTTTTATTAAAATTATTTTTTATTTAATAAAATGATAATAAAAATAAATACATGAAATCAGTTATATAAAATTAAAAATAAAAAAAAATATCATGCAAAGTTAAACATGTTAGAAATATAATTTAGGAGTTAATATTTTTTATTTTTTAAAATAAATTTTATCTATATAAAAAATTATAAATGTACTAGAGTAAATACATATAAAATAATTAAAAATATTTAAAAATTATGTAGAATAGTTATTAATTTAAAGATAAATTCAAAAATATTTTAAAAATATATATTAAAAAATATTAATAAAAAAATAATTTTTTTAAAAATACGTAAACAATACTAGCCTTCCTAGAGCTAGGCTCGCACACTGAGCACATTTTTAAAAAACTCACATATGGGCTTTTCTTTATATGGCAACGGGGGAATGAGTCATAAAAAATAAAATAAAAAAAGTTAGATGATATATCGACGGCAACGGGGGAATGAGTCATTAAAAAAAAAAAAAAAAAAGAGTTAGATGACATATCGGCTACTTTTATATGGGCTCATGGTTTGGTGACCTAAAAACTTATATTTAATTTTAAAAAATTTATAAAATATATTAATAAACATGAATAAAAAAACTTAAAAATATGCTTAAAAATCTAAAATCAACCTAAAGTTTTTCTTAAAAAAAACTTTTTGAGCATAAATTTACCATCTAAGACAAAATGACACTTAAATAAACTTTCATAATTAAATATAGCTCAACACTAATTTTTTTATATTTATAATTGATGTTAACTGATTTTTTTTTAGAATTCAACCAATTTTTTTCTTATTTCTCAAATTAGATATTAAAAAATAAAGAAAATAAAATATTAAACTAAAATTAAATTTCTAAATACTCGAAAGACCCAGAGTTTATAATTTAAAAAATATAGAAATTAAAATAAATATTTTTTTATCAAATTTTAAAATTATCACCTATTTTTTCTTCTTTTATTACTCCATTCCTTGTTCTTTCAATCTTGTTGTGCTTCAATTTAAGTATGAAAAGATACAATTGGTTACAAAACAATTTAAACATCAAAATGAAAAAAATTTATCACAATAAGTACATGTGAAATGTGAAAAGTGAGAGTATAACAATAATTATTATTTAAAATATTTGTTACTAAAATATAAATTAAAATAAAATATTTTTTATTTTAAAAAAAAAAAATTGACATCAACACATTAAAATAATTTAAAAATACTAAAAACATAATTTAAAATAAAAAACTTTTTTTATTTTTTTTAAAACACAAAAATAAATAATTTCATGTTGTTTCATTTTACTCATGGAGCATCGTGCAGTAAACACAAAAATAAATAATTTCATGTTGTTTTATTTTATTCATGGAGCATAGTAGAAGATAACACACAAGAAACAACAATTAAATTAAACAATATATAAAAAAACTATTTTATCCTTGAAACTTCATGTCCTTTCCAAGTTTTTTCTGAAATATTCTTTGTATTTTTTTTCAAAATCATTTAATATTATTTAATGGTGGTATTATTTTTAGAAAAAAATCATAGTTTAAAGTTTTAAATTATACATATGCATTAACAATTTCAAACAATTACAAATTATTAATAATAAAAAGGTTACATAAACATATTAACTAGTTTAGTATGCTTTTAAATCTAAAATTTCATTGTAAGAATATCACGTCTGATATATTAAATAAAATAACATGAAAAAATTCATATGAATAACAAAAGTAAAAAAAAAAAATCAACATGATAAAGCGTTGAAATAATAATAATAATAAATAAATAAATAAACTAGAGCCGAGGCGGGCATGCCGAGGCTCTATCCAGGTGCCCTTTGGCTCGTGTTTAGACTGTTATTTTTTAAAAAAAGATTCTATATAAAGATAACGTGTCATATGCATAGATGGTGTGTCGTTTATGCATCGTATATTTCATTGCTTGTTGGAATCTGGAAAATCGCATCAAATTCAACCGAGACATGGGCTTAATATAAAAATATGTATTTTTTAAATTAAAAAAAAAACCATATCCATACAATCCTTTGAACTTTTAAATAAATCCAAAGTTAAAAATCATTCGTGAACACTATATTCAAAAATTGAATTTAAATTTAAAATTTAAATTCCCATATCTCTATATTTCGGTGATGTGATGGTTTAAAGTTAATATCTGTACTCTGTAGGGTTCCTCATGATATATATATGTGTGTGTGTGTGTGGTTTTAGTTTTTATCATTATGGTCAAATTACCTCAAAAGTAATTCTCTCTTTTTTATTATTATTTTTGTTTGATCAAAATAAATAATAAAAAATAATTTAAATAAAATCAATGGACATGACTTATAAATGAAGGACATGATTTATAATTTTTAAAATTTTGCAAGGACAATTCTAAAATAAAACTTCACGATATTTTTTTAATCTATTTCTTATTCTTCATATCCCCTCGTATTAGAAATATAAGAATTCACTCAATTTCTCTATCTTTCTATCTATACCAACTAATGTAATGGAAATTCTAAAAGGTACCTCAATATAGGGGTAAGTAAAAAAAAAAATTAAAAAACTAATGAAATTAAAAAAATTAAAAAAACTAAAAAAATCAAATTGCAAAAAAAAAAAAATGATTAGAATGTAAAAAAAATTAATTGGTTTAGTTTTGATTTTATAGACTTGAAACTAAAAAAACCAAATCAAATTAAAAAACCCGAGTCAAACTAAAAGATCAAGCTAAAATATAGTCAAATTGATTTGAACTGATTTTTTTTTTAAACTAAACCAAATTAAAATTGATTGGTTTAAACCAGTGTGGATTGTTTTTTAAATTTTATTTTAATTATTTTTTTTTATAAAAATCAAATTAAATTAAAAATAATCATTCTAACTCAACATCTTTTACTTTTTATGAAACGATAAAATATATAATAACAAATTTTCCTAACAAACTATAAATCATTTTTTGAAAAGTTAAATGAGTAATAGACTAGCTTATATGAATGAAAAATGTTGAATTAATGAAGTATCTTTTCCATTGTAAATATTCAACCTAAACCGAATTTAATTCATATAAAAATTAACTAATAATTAAATCATTTTTGTTTTAAAAAATGATACTTACTAGATTGATAGAAGCAATTAACAAAATTTATTTAACTACCCCATGATTTAATTATTTTTATATTTATTTTATGTGTTTTAAAAAAATTGCAGTTTATATTTTAAATTTTATTGTATACATGATATTTTACATTCTAAATTATTTTTAATTTAATTTATTTTAAAAATTTGATGTAGGTGTAATAATTTATATTCTAAATTATTTTATAATTGAATCTATTTTATAATTATGTAAATTATAGTTTTTTAAAAACATAAAGATTAAATATAAAAAACCAGTAAATTATACGACTTTTAGTAATTTTCCCTTTCCTTTGTTAAGCCGATATAAAAGAAAGTGGAAAAATGATAAATAGGAAAAAAACCCCTGCACTCTACGAAGTCTTACCAGAGAGGCAAACCCTTCTTTCTTCTCTGTCGAATATCGATGGCCAGCAACAGCAAGAAGAGACCACTCGATAGTGACCTCAACCAAAACCTCATCAGAAAACACCACCACCACCACTCTCCCTCCTCTTCCTCAATAACTAGGAAACCCTCTTTCCCATCTTATCTTGAAACCCCAAATCTCCCACCAACAATCAAAATCCTCTGTGAAATCATAGCAAACACACCTTCTCATAATGTGGAACCAGTTCTTGATGCCACTGTTATACGTGTTAAACAAACCGATGTAGAACAAGTTCTTAAATTGTCTTATTCTTCACCTGGCTCAGCTGTCAAGTTCTTCAGATGGGCTGGCTCGCAACTTAATGACAAACATAGTCCTTATTCTTGGAATCTTGTTGTTGATCTTTTAGGTAAGAATTCTATGTTTGATGCTATGTGGGGTGCTATTAAGTCTATGAAAAGAGAAAAATTGGTTTCTTTAGCTACTTTTGCTTCGGTTTTTAGTAG